GTATTCAACTAAATATTTATTAAAATTGACTATATTTTTTTTCAGTGTATGAAATGTGTTCATACATTTTCATACATCCTTTTTTCTTCTGTAAAATTATTTTTTAATGTAATAGAAATAATAATAGTAATGTGAAAACATAAAAAATAATTAAATGGATAATTCTCGCATTATTTTAGAAAAAAACAAGTTTGGAAAAATGTAAAAAAAATTGCTCATACGTAATTATGCATAATTTTATATATAATTATACATAAATAATTTTTTTACATTTCTTTGAACTTTCTTCCAAAATAAATAGTGCGAAAATTACCTTTTCAATTATTTTTAATGTTTTCACATTACTATTATTATTTCTATTACACTAAAAAATAATTTTACACAAAAGAAAAAAGGATGTATGAACATGTATGAACATATTTCATATATAATTATACATTATAATTATACATTATAATTATAGTATTTATGAATATTTATGCGTATTTATGTATGTTTATACATATTTATACATATTCATGCATGCAAAATTTTTTACCGGGAAAATATTTATATGTAATAAATTTTATATGTATATTAAGTATAAATATACAGAGCGTCCCCGATCTATGGGATTACCTCTCGTGAGTGAGTAGAGCGAATTAAACTAAGTTGAAAAGTTTTTTATCATTTTGCAATTTTTGCAATACTCTTTAGAAGATATTAATTTTCAAAGTCACTGGAATAAGCATATGTATCCGCGCAGACTACCGCCAAGTATTTGCCCATCGATCACGGTCGCTTGTCGCGTGGGGACTGTTTAGGTCTAGGGTTGTGCGCGTTACCTCAAAAAAGTAATGCGTTACCGTTACCGTTACTTTTTGAAAAAAGTAACTCGTTACCATTACTCGTTACCAATTTTTAAAACGCGTTACCGTTACCGTTACTTGAAAAGTAACAGTTCGTTACTTCTTGTTATAATGCTAAAGTAAGTTATTAGATTTTAAAATTACATTAGCTGATAATTAATTTAATACTAAATGTGAAATACCTAAATATTTAAACTTGAAACTCTCTACTAACTAGTTTGTATATAGAGCAAGCTTTTCTCTATACTCTATATTAAACTTACCTATAGTTTTATTTTAATTCTTTATTTTATTTAGATAATATCGTTATTTTAATGTACTCATTTTTATAAGAATTTAGATTAAACAGATACAAGACTATATATTGTTTTTAAACGTTGATGTTTCCTGGTGGAAATAAATCGATGAAATCTTTATCAATAAACCCATTTCAGTGTAATTTATAATGAAATGAGTCAATTGATAGAGATTTCAGCGATTTTCAGCAATTTCAACGATTTATTTCCACCAGGGTTACTATTATGTGTATTTCAATTTATTGTCTATACCGAAAATTTACAGTATATACATATGTAATGTAAATTATATATTTTCAACATTGGCAGTGCCTATTAGAACACAGTATAAGTACAAAATACTTTTTAAGAAATTAAGAATAAATTATAAAATAAGAATATATATATATATAT